TGGTAGCTTATACTTGTAATCCCTGCACTTTGGGAGACCGAGGCAGGCAGGTAGGTTACTTGACATCAGGAGTTTGAGACCAGCCTGCCCAACATGATGAAACCATGTCTTTAATAAAATTACAAAAACCACGCCAATTTTTGTGGGCGTGGTGGCTCACACCTGTAATCTCAGCACTTTGGGAGGCCGAGGTGGGCTGATCACCTGAAGTCAGGAGTTCAAGACCAGCCTGACCAGCATGAAACACTGTCTCTACTATAAACACAAAAACTAGCTTGGCATGGTGGCGGACACCTGTAATCCCAGCTACTTGAAGGCTGAGGTACAAGAATTAGTTAAATCCGGGAGGCAGAGGTCGTAATGAGCCAAGATTGCACCACTGCACTCCATCCAGCCTGAGTGACAGAGCGAGACTATCTCAGGCAGCAACAATAAGAACAAAAATATGTTCAGCTATGCTAGAAGGACTGAATTATTTTTCTTTTATCACTATAGAAATAACATTATAAAACTCATGGGAGCCGGATGCAGTGGCTTATGACTGTAATCCCAGAGCTTTGGGAGGCAGAGGTGGGCGGATCACTTGAGGTCAGGAGTTAAAGACCAGCCTGGCCAATATGGTGAAACCCTGTCTCTACTGAAAATAAAAAAAATTAGCTGGATTTGGTGGCGTCTGCCTGTAATCCTAGCTACTCGGGAGGCTGAGACAGGAGGATGGTTTGAACGTGGGAGGTGGACTTTGTAGTGAGTCAAGATCGAGACCTGCACTCCAGCCAAGGTGACAGAGCGAAACTCTGTCTCAGAAAAGAAAAAAAAACTCAAGGGAAAGTGTGGTGCTGGTATAAGAATTGAGATATAGATCAACGGAATGGAATTGAAAGTCCAAAAATAAACTCATACATTTGTGGTCAGTTTTTTTTTTTTTTTTTTTTTTTTGACAAGGGTCCAAAAACCATTAAATGGGGAAAGATTAGTCTTTTTAAAAAATGGCTTTGGGGCCAGGTGGTGGCTCACGCCTGTAATCCCAGTAATTTCAGAGGCTGAGATGAGCAGATCATTTGAGGTCAGGAGTTCGAGACCAGCATGGCCAATAGGTGAAACCCCGTTTCTACTAAAAATACAAAAATTAGCCAGGTGTGGTGTTTCATGCTTGTGGTCCCAGCTACTGGGGAGGCGGAGGCAGTAGAATCACTTGAACCTGGTAGGCAGTGGTTACAGTGAGCCAAGATTGTGCCATTACACTCTAGCCTGGGCAAAAGAGCGAGACTCCATCTCAAGAAAAAGTAAACAAATAAATAATGGTGTTGGACCAACTGGATTTCCACATGCAAAAGAATGAAGTTGAGTCTCTACCTCATATGTGAAAATTAACTCAAAATGGATTAAAGAGTAAATGTAACAATGAAAGCCGTAAGTCTCTTGGATGGTTTGGTGTGGTGGCTCATGCCTGTAATCTCAGCACTTTGGAAGGTCGAGAGGGTGGATTGTTTGAGGCCAGGAGTTCTAGACCAGTCTGGCCAACATGATGAAACCCCATCTCTACTAAAAATACAAAAATTAGCCAGTGGCGGTGGAGGGTGCCTGTGATCTCACCTACTTGGGAGGCTGAGGCAGGAGAATTGCTTGAACCTGGGAGGCAGAGATTGCAGTGAACTGAGATCTTGCCGCTGCACTCCAGCCTGGGCAACAGAGCAAGACTCGGTCTCAGAAAAAACCTTCTTAGATGGAAACACAAGACCTTGGATTCTGTCAATTAAAAAAAAAAAAATCTTATTTTTGTAAAGATGAGGTCTCACTATAGTGCCCAGACTGGTCTCAAACTCCGGGGCTCAAGAGATCCTCCTGTCTCAGCCTGCCAAAGTGGCAGGATTATAGTTATTAGCCACTGCATCCAGCCTAGACTCTGTCAGAATTAAAAACCTCTGTGTCCAAAAGGACACTAACAAGAAAGTTAAAAGATAATTCATAGAATGGGAGAAGATATTTGTAAATCATACCTCATAAGGGTCTACTATACAGAATAGTACACAGAATATATAAAGAACTCTTGTTTTTTTTTTTGGGGCGGGGGGAAAGTCTTGCTCTGTTACCCAGGCAGGAGTGCAGTGGCACGATCTCAGCTCACTGCAGTCTTCGCCTCCTGGGTTCAGGTGATTCTCCTGCCTCAGCCTCCTGAGTAGCTGGGACTACAGGTGCACACCACCATGCCCGGCTAAATTTTTTTGAGACAGAGTCTCACCCTGTTGTCCAGGCTGGAATGCAGTGGCACACAGTCTTGGCTCACTGCAACTTCTACCTCCTGAGTTCAAGCGATTCTTCTGTCTTGGTCTCCTCAGTAGCTGGGATTACAGGCGTGTGCCACAACGCCTAGCTAATGTTTATATTTTTGGTAGAGATAGGGTTTCACCATATTGGCCTGGTTGGTCTTGAACTCCTGACTGCAAGTGATCCACCCTCCTCGGCCTCTCAGTGCTAGAATTATAGGCGTGAGCCACAGTGCCTGGCCTGATTTTTTTAATTTTTAGTAGAGATGGGGCTTCGCCATGTTGGCCAGGCTGGTCTTGAACTGACCTCAGGTGATCTACCCGTCTTGGCCTCTCAAAGTGCTGGGATTACAGGCGTGAGCCACCGCACTTGGCCATGGAACTCTTAAAACTCCAAAGGACAAACAGTCCAGTTTTAAAATGGGCAGCTAGCCAGGTGTGTTGGCATATGCCTATAGTCTCAGCTACTTAAGAGGCTGAGGTGGGGGGATCCCTTGAGGACAGCCTGGGGAGCATAATGAGACCACATCTCAAAAAAAAAAAAAAAAAAAAAAAAAAAGGCAATGGGTTTGAATAGGCAGTTCTCCAAAGAAGATATATCAGTGGCCAAAAAGCACGTGAAAAGATGCCCAATATCATGAATCATTAGGGAGATGAAAATGAAGACCACAATGGGATACCACTTCACGCCCACTAGAAGGGTTATAATAATGGGAAAATAACAAATGTTAGCAAGGATGTGGAGAAATTGGAACCCTCATACATTGTTGGTGGGAATGTAAATAGTTCAACCATTGTGCTAAACAGTTTGGCAGTTTTTTGAAAAGTTAAACATAGTTACTGTATGACTCAGCAATTCCATTCCTAGGTATATACATAAGAGAACTGAAAACATGTTTACACAAAATCTTGTACATAGTAGCATTATTCGTAATAGCCAAAATAGTTGGGTGGAAACAACTCAGATGTCTGTCAACTGAATGGATAAAAAACTATGGCATTTCTATACACTGGAATATTATTCAGCCATAAGAGAGAATAAAGTGCTGATGATGTATGCTATAAGTATGGATAAACTCAAAAAATGAGGTTAAGTGAAAGAAGCCAGACAAAATGCCATATTGTATAATACCACTTGGCAAATCCATAGAGAGGCAGAAAGGAGATTCTCGGGTTGCTAGTCATGCATGGAGGTTTTTTTGGGGTGATGGAAATGTTCTGGAATTAGATATTGGTGATGGTTGTACAGCACTGTGACTGTGCTAAAAATTACTGAGCTATACAGCTTAACATGGTGATTTTCATGTCATGTGACATTTATTTATTTATTTATTTATTTAGAGACCTAGTCTCACTGTGTCGCCCAGGCCGGAGTGCAGTTGTGTGACTTGGCTTACTGTAACCTCCATCTCCCTGGTTCAAGCAATTCTTATGCCTCAGCCTCCTGAGTAGCTGGGATTACAGGTGTGCACCACCATGCCTGGCTAATTTTTGTATTTTTAATAGAGATAGGGTTTCACCATGTTGGCCAGGGTGGTCTTGAACTCCCCTCTGCCTCCCAAAGTGCTGAGGTATGAACCACTGTGATTGGCCTCATGTGACTTTTATCTGGAAACAAACTGAAAAAAACTGTCATAACAAATATTATTATTTTTCTAGGCTATGTTTGTGGCTTTTGCCAGTTTGTTAAGGTTTATGATTTATTTTCTCATTCTAAATTGAATATTGGCCGTCGTACCTAGTTCTGTGCTCATAAAGTGGAGTCCCCAAACTCTGTAAACTTCAGGCTTCATGAAATAAATGCACCCAGGATGTATATTAGCATCAGATACAAACTATTCAAGGACTATGTCTTCTTTTTAAGCATGAAAATTCAAGCTTGAATTGAACAGACATGTTTATTTCTGCTCTGTCCCCAAGCCCCAGGCACAGCAAGTAAGGGAATAAAAACAGGATAAATCTGCAAGACCAGAAAGAACAGGAGACAGCAAATAAGTGGTGTCAAAAAATGTCAGGGAAATGGAAGGTGGTTGGAGTAGATTAACTAGCTGGGAAAATGGAATATAAAATATCTGCATAGGCGAATACCAATTCCTTGCATGATTCTAGCCATATATCTAGAAAGATTCAGGCATTGAAGTTTCCAGGTCTCTCTCAGAGTACAGGCAATATGTGAAGCTGAAAGCAGCAAGTGGTTTAAAGCCTGTGAAAAGTTCTATACATGCCTATTCCTAGGCAGGCAGATGAGTGTTCTTCCCCCAACTTCACAAAAGTCAAAATTTATCTTGTGGAGAAAGCCAAGCTGTCTGCAGACCCAGGAATACCTGGTGCTGTGGAAAGTGGTATAGGAATGCCCATCTGAAACTGAGGGGATTGGCTACATCTTTAAATGGTGAAACTCCCACCCCTTTTGTACTGCTTAGCTCCAAGAACACTAGCAGCCAGTTATTCTTTTTTTTTTGTTTTTGTTTTTTGTTTGAGACAGACTCACCCAGGCTGGAGTACAGTGGCGGGATCTCAGCTCACTGCAACCTTCACCTTCAAGCGATTTTCATGCCTCAGCGTCTGAAGTAGCTGGGATTACAGGCGCCCACCACCACATCCAGCTAATTTTTGAATTTTTAGTAGAGACGGGTTTCGCCATGTTGGTCAGGCTGGTCTCAAGCTCCTGACCTGAGGTGATCTGCCCACCTAGGCTTCCCAAAGTGCTGGGATTATAAGCGTGAGTCACTGTGCCTGGCCTATTTAAATTTTATGGTTTTTTTTTTTTTTTTTACAGTAGTTTTGTATGGAGGGTATAAAACTCTTCACAACATTTTTTTTGGGGTGCAGGGGGCTAACCTCTTGGTAGTTGCCTTTGTTTGTAAGTTACCTCTAAATAAAGTTCAGAATTGAAAGTTGTTTGGTGTTATCAGCGTATTATTGAAAGCTCAGAATTGTAGGGACCAGAATTTTACAGATTCTCTAATGTCTTTAATCAATTAGATAATTCATGTTACGTGAACAACAAACCAATGATGCTAGTTGAATCCTGGAATTTAAACTTGCAACAAAGTGAATATAACACAGTTAATGGTTATTCTTAATATATTATAAATAGTAAAGGGATTTATGTAAATATTTATTGCTTTTACCCAGCTAATAAACGTTTTCACCTGGGATAGAATGATACTGGGGTGGATACGGAGAGTTCGTTGTAAAGGGAATGTTCTTTCTCTGTTTTTGTTTTTATACTCTGCTTTCTCTTTGAAGTTGTTCTTTCCTGTATTTGATTTTGAGAGACCCTGATTGACTCCCAATACCTGGATATAGAGATTTAAAAAATTTTTTAAACAAAACAAAACAGGGCCTTGCTATGTCACCCAGGCTGGAGTGCAGTGGTATGATCATAGCTCACTGCAGCCTCGGCCCCCTGGGCTCAGGCCATCCTCCTGCTTCAGCCTCCCGACTAGCTGGGACTACAGGTCCGTGCCACCATGCCTGGTTAATTTTTGTAGAGATAGGTTCTTGCCACGTTGCCCAGACTGGTCTTGAACTTCTGGGCTCACGCTATCTGCCTGCCTTGGCCTCCCAAAGGCAGGGATTACAGATTTGGCTGTAATCCCAAAGGCTGGGATTACAGATTTGAGCCACCACACCAGCCTGTACCTTCTGTTGTAACAGTGGATCCTATGTATCCCTATTTGCAAAGTTTTAAGAAACTCTTTACCTAAGTCATCTCACTTAATCTTCAAAATAATAAGGTGAAGTAGGTGAGTACAAATATTATCATCATATTGTCATCAGAAAACATTGATCTCAGAGAAGTTAAGTCATTTGTCCAAGGGCTCACAATCCTCTTAAGTGTGGGAAGTTGTAATTTGAAACCAGATGTGTTTTATTCCTGTGTCTAAGCTCTGTGTTACACTGTCTTCCTAAATTGTTTAGGCCTCTTGACAGAAGACTGGAGGCCTTTGAACAGTTTCTTTTTTCCCCCAAGTGGTTACTTTTTGTCTTATTTTTCCCTTCAGCTGGAAAAAGGATATAGAAAGCATTTGTAAATTCCTTTAAGACCAGGTTTTAGGTCAAATAGGCTGAGTATGTGTTTTGAATTAAGTGTTTTTTGTTTTTTGTTTTTTTCCTGCCCATATCTCTTTCCCACAGCTGCCCTGACTATGTCAATTGGAGATGCACTTGGTTTAATCGGCACACATTTCCTGGGAGGGTTGATGTTAGGAGTATGGAGGGACCTGGTCAGTTATTAACCATGTGGTGTGGATTACATGACACTTTGGCCAGTCTAGCTTCGGACATCTGAGCTAATGGACAAATTTGTGATTGATGTGCCAAGCCAAAACTTCTGGAGATTAAAATTTAGCTTTGCTTCCCCCCACCTGCCCCTTTTTAAAAACAGAGGTGGTGGCTCATGCCTGTAATCCTTGCCCTTTGGGAGGCCAAGGTGCGTGGATTATTTGAGGTCAGGAGTTCGAGACCAGCTTGGTCAACATAGTGAAACCCTGTCTCTACTAAAAATAAAAAAATTAGCTGGGCATGGTGGCGGGTGCCTGTAATCCCAGCTGCTTGGGAGGCTGAGGCAGGAGAATCGCTTGAACCCAGGACGTGGAAGTTGCAGTGAGCCCAGATGATACCATTGCACTACAGCCTGGGCGAGTGAGACTCTGTCCCCCATCCCCCCAGAGAGGCTTAGAATAATACTGGAGTGATGAGTGATCAGTAGATGTTATGATGTGATAGCAAAGTGCAGCTTTACTGGGTGACCCCATGTTGCTGATCCTGTTATTTAATAAGCTAATCCCTATAATGTGTATAAGCACCATATCTGCAAAGTAATAAATATTCAATGACTATTGTTGTGTAAATATTTTTCATATTCAATAAAAAGTATGAAAATGAGGGCAGAAGTGGAATTAGGGTTATGTCAAATTCTGTTTTTTGCTTCATGATGTTTTGTTTTTTGTGAGGGGTTAAGTGCATTTTGTGTTCTGAGAGAGTAGATTTTAGGAGCTGGGTGGGTTTTCAAAGATGGCCAGTCAAGGTGTGTTCCTCATCTGTCAAGGTTAGTTAATTCTCCTCTGTGGACTCTGGAAGTTTGTCCTATTAAGTTCTCTTTTTATTTTCTTTCAGAATTTAAGTATCCATATGTGTCTCACATTTTTAAAGGCCTTCCTTAGCCCATTTCCTTTAACTCCTTCATTTCTTTCAGGAGTAGTCTCCTTTTACAGAGTAGTCTACTCTCATGTGTATCCTTGTTTTCACCTCTCTCTCTCTCTTTCTGTACCCACCCCCACACCCCGCCCTTTCTTTTGACCCAAATAGCTGGGACTACAGGCATGCGCCACCACTCCCAGCTAATTTTTAAAGTTTTTTTGTAGAGATGGGGTCTTGCTATGTTGCCCAGGCTGGTATTGAACTCCTGGGCTCAAGTGATCCTCCTGCCTTAGCCTCCCAGAGTGCTGGGATTACAGCATGAGCCATTACACATGGCCTTCACCTTTCCTTTATGCACTAACCCAGCCTTTCCCCAGAACTCTGATGAAGCTGCTCTTAAGGAGGATACTAGTGCTCTAACTGATGAAACAGAGACTTTCTGTCTTGACCTTACCGCTACATTCGACTAATAGTTGCTTTTCAAGGACTCTAGAGATATTTGAGTGATGGTTGAAAGTAGGGCCTTCAAGGATATGTTTTAAGTTTTTCCCAGTCATATGAAGGACAGCTCTTAGCTGGAGCCTTCAAAAAGTTTGTATAGCAACTCTTTCTTACTCTTATCAGTTCAGCTAATGAGAGGCAAATTCTGAGAGGCAAAATTCTCATAATTTTCTAAGGACAGCTTTAAAGCCTTTTTCTGCTAAATTTGTTTCAACTCTGGGTGGACTGTGATTTGTCCCCTTGCCTCCAGTAGTTGTCCCCAAATAGAGCATTTAAATAAAAGTTTTTAGGTTTGACAATATTATAGTTCTGCCTTACTGCTTAAACCTAACCTGTTGCACCAGTTTGGGTATAGTGGCAGGAACTAATTTCTTGTGTTTTGGACAGTTAGCTCTCTGCACACTTGCAGAGTAACAGGCTCTTCTTTTGTGGCATTTAATTTGAGTAGGATCTTATATTTTTAGAAATTCCCAGTTAGCTGATAATCTCTCAAATGAAGTGATTTTCTACTTGATGAGTATGTGAAGACTTGAAGATCAGAAGCATCTCATAAACAAATCTCTTCTAGGATTTTTGCTAACTGCTTAATTTGTATTAACTTTTTTTGTTTTTTGAGACAGAACCTTGCTCTGTTGCCTAGGCTGGAGTTCAGTGGTGTGATCTTGGCTCACTGCAGCCTCCGCCTCCTGGGTTCAAGAGATCCTCCTGCCTCAGCTAGTAGCTGGGATGACAGGCACCTGCCACCGCGCCTGGCTAATTTTTGTATTTTTAGTAGCAATGGGGTTTCACCATGTTGTCCAGGCTAGTCTTGAACTCCTGACCTCAGGTGATCTGCCCGCCTTGGCCTCCCAAAGTGCCGGGATTACAGATGTGAGCCACCATGCCTGGCCTGCATTAACTTTATATGTCACCACACAGAGGCAAAAGCAGTTGATTTTTCTTTCCAGTCACCTCAAGTGACTAGTCTGTCATTCATTGTCCTGTTCACTGAGGTCAGGTTTATGGCTAATCTTAATATTATGAGAGCATTTCTGGGTTCAAACAGTGTACAGTTGAAAAATGGGTAGTTTCATGTTTCTTGGCTTGACACTTGTTTAAAATATTAAATAGCTCCTTCCAGGTATAGTTTATTTCCCCTTGTGTTCCCAGGTCATGAGACTTGACTAACAGGGTTATTGTCTTGTAACTTTTCTCTGCATCTCCCCCTGGGTCTAAAGCCTTTACTTAACTCTATCAGCAACCTAGGTCTCATGGTAAGTATTTTTCTTGCAGTCACATAACCAGATTCATTTTTTTGTAGTCTTCAGGTCAAAACCCTTCTCTCAAGCCTTATTTGGTGGGTGTTCTAAGTTCTTCCTGTAAGTGGTTTCTGAATAGGCTTTCTTTGGTTGTTGAGTTAGTTTACCTGTTTATTAACATGCTTATTTCTCCTGGCCTCTCTTTTTCAGTTTTGGTTTTTCTGTTTGCAATCTCCTTTTGCTGTGTTTTCCTTAAAATTCTGTTAACATGCTTTTCATCATCTTTTTTTTAGCATCAGTTTATCTGTTGTTCTCTCTAGCCTTTCTTTTTCTTTTTTTTGAGACAGAGTCTCCCTTTGTTGCCCAGGCTGGAGTGTAGTTAACATGATCATGTCTCACTGCAGCTTTGACCTCCGAGGGCTAAGGTGATCCTCCCAGAGGAGGAGACCTCTAGCCTTTCTCCCTACTACAGTGTGACTAAAAAGTCTTCAAGATTTTGTCCTCAGACATCAGTCTGGGTTTCCAAGATTCTTTCCCAGGACAACCAATTGGTTCTTCAGGAAATCTCATCTCTTGAGAAACTTGTGGATGCTTGTCTGGTTGTCCCTTTAATTCCAGTGCAATGATTGTTCAGCCTCCTGGGTAGCTGGGACTCCAGACTCATGCCACTACACCTGGCTAATTTTTCCTATTTTTTGTAGATACAGGGTCTCATTTGTTGCCCAGGCTGGTCTCAAACTCCTGGGCTCAAGTGATCCTTCCACCTCGACCTCCCAAAGTGCTAGGATTACAGGTATGAGGCACTGTGTCCGGCCTCTAGCCTTTCTTTTCACTACAGTGTTGCTAAAAGGTCCTGTCTTTAAGATTTTATCCTAAGACATCAGTCTGAGTTTCCAAGATTCTTTCCCAAGGCATCAGTTGTTTCCTCTGGAAATCCCATCTCTTGAAAAACGTGTGGATTATGCTTGTCTGTTTGTCCATTTAATTACAATGCTGTGATTGTTCTGATTTGCTTTAAAGGTCCTTATATACTCTTACAGTGTATAATCATGTTTTGAGGAGGCATGAAGTTGCCAAAGCAGGCAAAGGGAACTATTTTTCCCTCTAGATTTTACCCATAAGTAAATGGCAAAATGTAGCAGAAAGAGTTGGTTGTTTTATTCAGGGTGTATATATATACATTATGTGTGTGTGTGTGTGTGTGTGTGTGTGTGTGTGTGCGTGCGTGTGTATAAATTGTACATTTTATTTTTTGAAAAGTGCATTCTTTTATTAATGGAATAAATTACTCTTTGTCTTTTGGTTAGCTCTGAACACAATTAAAGATGGTTTTAAGGTTCTTTTCTGTGATTACACCTGTGATACACCAGTTGATAAGATTCACATCTGTGCAGGGCTTTAAATGTTTCTAGGTGCTTTAGGTTTGTCTACTCACCCTATCAGATGCAGGGGTCAAATGGTGGCTGAAGGCCTGGCAGGTAAGCAGCTGG